CTGCAAGTTGTCTCAACGTGCAATTGTCATTAAGACAATTGTCAATTTCTCTAACGTAGAAATTGTACAAAAGGGGGCTTAAACATGAGCCTTGGGGGAGACCCATGTAGCTAAATCGAAAAGCTGTAGAGTTTCCATGAGAAAAGCTCATATGTTTTTCTGACAGCAAATTGTACAAAAAATTATTCATTAATGGAGACAATCCACAAGCGTGGAGTTTCTCTGAAAGAACTTCAACGGATACTGAATCAAAAGCCCCCTTGATATCCAAGAACACAGAAGCCATTTGCTCTTTCTTAGCAAAAGCCAACTGAATTTCCGAGAAAAGCAACGCGAGACAGTCGTTCGTTCCCTTACCCCTACGGAAACCAACTTGAGTATCTGAAAGAAGGTGGTTCGTCTCAACCCATTTGTCGAGGCGAAAAAGGATCATTTTCTCCATCAATTTCCGAATACATGACAGCATCGCGATGGGCCGATACGAATTGTGATCCGACGCGGGTTTATCAGGCTTTTTAATGGCTATCACCCTTACTCGTCTCCAATCGTCGGGAACAATATTGAGCTCCAAGAACTGATTGTACAAGTTCAACATGCGCCTCTTAGCGACGTCTGGGAGGTTTTTCAGCAAGTTGAACTTGATTCTATCAGATCCCGGAGCAGAATTGCCACACGAAAGGAGAGCGAGTGAAAGTTCCACCATTGAAAAAGGCTGACTGATTTCGTCTACCGAATTCGCGGTTTCGCGAGGAGTCAACTGCGACGGCACGGAATCCGGACAGACTTTTCGCGCGAATTTAAGAATCCATTGATCCGAGCATTCCTCGCTTTCGTTGTTAGTGGACCGGTTACGCATTCTTCGCGCCGTACTCCAAAGCGTATTCATAGACGTTTCGCGCGACAATCCGTCTACAAACTGCCGCCAGTAACCCCGTTTTTTGGCCTTGATGAGGCTCTTGAGTTCGCGTTCAAGAGATGTGTATGCGTCGAAATGCTCGCGTGTTCCGCGTTTCCGAAAAAGTTTAAACGCGTCGGACTTTTTACGGTAAACCTCCGTGCATTGTTGATCCCACCAGAGCGATGGTGTTTTCTTACGAATAGACGATCGCGGCACCGGTCGTGTTTGAGCTTGAAGTGCGCTGTCGACGATGAGATTAGAGAGGAAATTATATTCCTCCAACGGCGGAAGCTCTTCAACTGACGATACTGTATCGCCTATCGCGGATTGGAACTTAGTCCAATCGATGTTACGGGTTAGATCATACGCGACGTTAACGGATTCTGACGAGTTGAACCCACTGGCAATCGAAATTTTGATCGGCAGATGATCACTACCGTGCGGATCCTGGATTACATGCCAAGTGCAATCCAACGATAGTGAATTAGAGCAAAAGGTGAGGTCTAATCTGCTACCATTCGAGGATGGACCAGCCAAACGTGTTACTTCTCCATTGTTAAGTATTGTCATGTTGAAGTTGTCGCAGAGATCATAAATCAAAGTAGAACGGTTATCATCGTTCAGCTCCCCCCAGCCTGTACCGTGGGAGTTAAAATCTCCCATGATCAACCATGGAGCGGGAAGTACCGCACATATGTCGAAAAGTTGTTTGCGATTAACAGAGACTCTAGGAGCAATATATACAGAAGCAATACAAAGGCTCTTACCTTTAATGGTAGCCTGACATGCGACAACTTCAATACCGGGGAATTCGGGAAGATTCACTCTATAGAAGGAATGGCACTTTTTGATCCCCAAAAGTACCCCTCCTCCACGTGAATCCTCACGATCCAATCGAATAATGTTAAAATCATAAAAAGGGAGATCAATTTCTGAAGAGAGCCATGTTTCACAGAGGGCAAATGCATCGCAATTATTGTTATGGACTAAATACTTGAACGAATCTAATTTCGGAATAAGACTTCGACAATTCCATTGTAGAACAGTGATCAAATCCCCGACCTCGTTTGGAAAATTATCCATCGAAGGAGATGATAGCTGCAAGAAGGGGCCATTTTGAAGTCAATTGCTTCAAGAAGGATTTCACAGTGGGAAGCAATGTGAGGACAATGCTTTTCAGAGGATCAGAAATGTTGAGGTATTTGAGAATACCGTCCACAATGTCATCAAATGAGAACAGCCCAGATGAAGAAGGGGTTTCTGTTCTTAAAATTGGGGCATCAGGGGTTTTGGATGTCCCCGGAAGAGGTGGAAAATCCTGGGTATAGTCAGTTCTGCGGAATCCAGGAGGAGTAGAAGTCTCCTTTTTTCCACCACTCCTTGATTTGGGCAAGCTGATTTGGGGTTCTTTATTTGCAACAATCCGCGAACGGATGCGCTTTCGTTTCCGTGCAGAACCTTCCGGAAAACTGAAAGAAGTTCCCTCCTCAGCCAAGTCAGAGTCAGTCTCGTCATCTGACAAAAGAGAAAAGGGATTTTTGTCATTGGTCGATGGCGTGGCTGTCTTAAGCATTTCTGCAAAAGACCGCCTGGAACGTTCCTTAAGGGAGCGTTTCATTTTGTCCCCGAGCTGTTTGTACGCCGGGCACGACGAGAGAGCATGAGGAGGAGTTCCGTTGCAGTACACGCATTTTGGTGCAGTAGCTGCGCAGGCGCCATCCTCATGCTTCTCCCCGCATATGGAGCAGCGTGCCTTGTTGCCGCAGTGGGAGGCCGTATGTCCCAACCGCTTACAATTCTGGCAGTTCATGACCCGAGGTACAAACAACCGCACAGGAAGACGAAGTTTTCCCAGCTCGATGTATTGAGGAAGGGCAGATCCAGAAAAGGTCACCCGAAACGAGTCTGTGGGGGTAAAACTCTTTTTACCCTCGCTGAGCGATACTGAGTTCATTCTATGAACGGCCAGTATCTTTACCGGAGGAAGCAAGGGGTTCTTGAATCGGCCAACCGCTTGCTTCTCCAGTATCTCGGGGTTCAGGCTCGCCTCAGTGACCACGCCTTCGATCTCCACATCAGAGGCTGGAATGTACACCCTATATTCCAGTGTGAAAAACTGGGAAACAGCAATTTCATTAGCCTGTTTCAGGTTAGCGACGGTCACACGAAGTTTGTTGTGCCTAACCTTCGTTATTTCGGTTACGGCAGAGAATCGCTTTGTCAGATCATCAGATATCTGAACAACATTCAAGGGTTTGTTTTTGGGCTGAAAATAGACAACCCATGGGCCAGTCGAGTCATTCGGGTAGGCCCGCAATCTGGAGTTTTTCTCAGCCTGCCCATTGACAGACTGAGACGACGAACCAGGGATGACATCATCATTTTTCTTAGATGAATGGTCATCCATGTCGTCTTCTGACAAAACATCCATTTTGTTCAACTAGTGGGAGCGCAAAACGCTCTCCCACTGAACGCACAGACACAATACACAGAAAACACTACAAACACAGAAATACAAAATGAAAATTTAACTAATGGGGGAGGAAAAGAAACAAAAAAAAAAAACAAAAACTTATCTGATAATTCTATACTACTACCACCGAGCGTTATATGTGTAGGCGTTTACGCAGATGGCTGGAAGAGACGCGCTGCGTGGATGACCTTCGTTGTGGTGCACTTGATCGAGGCTCGGTACTCAGCGCACACAGGCGCACGATGATTGATGAACGATGTAGATGTAGAAACGTGTGCTCACACTCGATGATGATGATACGTGCGCGGGTATGCGTAAGCGCGTATGCGTGACCACGCAACGATGATGCCCAAATTGGTTCGCGAATTTCACACGGATTACTCTTTCCGAAAATGACACTTTCTACTAAAAAAACTCACTTTTCGATCAATTTACCGGGAACTATGCCAGGAGTCACTTAGTGAGAAAAAAAACTGATAATTTATATCAAGCGAATACCGAGAAAACTTCCAAAACAACGGAGCGCGAAACAAATCGACCGTACTTCTTGCTAGGACGCAGTGAGATGATCCGCACTTTTAGTTTTAAATTAACATGTGTGATCATTCTGAACAATGAAATAAATAATATTTAAGTGCTGTTTTGAGCAACTCCACTATCTTCGAGCAGTAGTATTGAAACCTAAACTGACCCCACAATTATGGATCACTTGCATTTGATTATCATGGTAGACATACTGATCGACAAATGTGGGTTGAGTGCACCTATCAATTATAACTACTTTAATAAAACAATAGTTATTCTGCATTCAGGTTTCAGCGAACTCTCTTTGCTACATAGCGTACATAGCATTTAGCAGTGAGTCGTTCGTTAAATAATATCGTATTAGCACGGTATTACCAAGCTGGAGGCAACGGATTCGATTACCGGCTCGGTCGATGAAATCTTTCGGGTTGAAAATTGTCTCGACTTCCCTGGGCACAGAGTATCATTCTGACTCCCCCACAGTTTACAAATTGTCATGCATTGATTGCCATATAAAGCTCTCCATTTATAACTGTGCAAGTGCTCCAAGAACACTAGGTTGAGAGCAGACGAAAGCTCACATACGAGGGCAGAGCCAATCAGAAGAAGGCCATCCAAATGGTTCTTTTAATTCAATTGAGCATATTTCCACACTAGGAAAACTTCACCCTAAATATTTCGTTCAAAAGAAGCCAGTAATCAGATACTTCTGTGGGCTTATGAGTAACTGAAAAGTAAGTCATCTAAATTGGAACAAACATAAGTCCACTCAAAGATAAGCAAGACGCAAAATTAAACCGAAATATCAAGCAACCAAAAGACGGAACGACAAACTGAATCTGCTAAACCGAACAAACCCTCGAGGGTTGATGGGTGGGATTGGATGAATGGATGAAAGGATGAGCGATGGGGCGCAGGAGGAAGACATGAGACTGCAAACGCGAAATCCATAACTCACCTCGCAAATATTTCTTTGAGCTCATGTTCGGAGACAAACTGTCCCAGGTTAGCAACGAACAGTGTTGAACAGGGAGCATTGGCAGCGAGCGGTGGATTAGGTGGCTGACTGCCACCGGTGCTGCCAACCGGACTCGCTAAGGCCGGACTTGGTAAAAAATGGTTCGCTGGTAATCCGGCCGAAACATGCATCGATGCTGGATGTATTGCTGTTGGATGTGGCATTTGAATTTGTTGCTAGAATGAACATACATAAACATACAAAGTGATAGAGACAAGGGGGGAAGGCGAAGGCTGCAACATCGGCACGGTAGAGGTTTAGTGATTCCTTACTAGGTTTATGGATTTTAAAGGATTGATGTTGGCTAACTGTTTTTAGGATAGTTCTTTGTCATTGTGTGGAAAATTATGGGTCAGATTTTCCGTGTATGTGTGATCCCTGAATGAAAACTTTGGACACATGATAAATATTGGCCGTAGATGAGAAGTTTTAAGTACACACCACCTTGTCCAGAGGGTTACCCTCATCCTACCACGAATAGAGCCAACCGTTAGTCCATACCGTTCATAATTGGATAAACTTCATGTTTCGGTCTCAAGGCTTTTAAGAGAGATCCTTTAACCTCTTCGCTCTCTCTGCCTTTCATTCCAAATTAATTATCTCACAATTAGATTTCCCAAAGATAAGGAAACGTGCAAAGTGAACCCGGATTATTCCGGTATGTACACGGAGCTGTTGGATGACTGCGGGAGAGGAAAGTTGCCCAGCTAGATTCATTCTATTTTCATCACCATGATGACATCGATCGCTTGTCGCCTCTGCCATCTCAAGCGGAATGGAAATGAGGAAATCATTTTCAGCAGCGTGTGAACGCAGGCAAATCAAAACTTGACCCGGCTCTCCTGTTAGAGAGGCAAGAGGATGGCTGAAAGGCCAGGCCAGAGGTCCCCGGGAGAAAAGCAGATAAGCTAAGCTAAATACTGAAAACGAGCGAAAAATAAGTTTATCTTTTATCCGTGTCATAATGGTGACAGATTTTATGATTCGTCTGGACTCTTCTTCTGAAATGAATCGAAACCGGAAAGGCGCACCGGAGTGATGGGAAGCGGAAAAGCCATTATCTGATATGGTGCCCGGGAGTGGAGTTTTGTCTTTGCGGTGAGTGGATCCATCCGGCGATACCATAGGATCATCGGTGGCGTAAAAAGTGAGGGGCTATGGGAGAAAATATGCATGTTCAACTAAACCATGCAAAAGGAGACTTGAAGTGGGAAATTTTTCCACTTACGTTCATAATATCGTGTCCTTGCTGGGATTTTGATAAATAGTACCTTCTTTGATCATTGAATGTAAAAATCGTCTGTAACTCGTGAAACATTCATGAGAAAATGGGTAGTTAATTGAATTTTCAGTCATTAAACTTTTCGTGGTATGGGATCCGTTTCGTTGCTATATAAGTTCAATCGAAACCAATCAGAAATAAAATGGACGTTCATGCCATATAAGTCCATGATAAATAAATAACTCCATCGAATATGAAATTTGAGATGGATCAATCAGTTGGCTCGATTTTACACCGGTTGAGGTAACTGCTATATGACTGATTTTGTCAAAGGTGTTCATGTGATCAACGTTTTTCGATGGTAGACAAATAAATTCACAATGTTCTCATTACGTGGTGCCGAGAGTTGTTATTATATCTCTAGCTATCCTGATGTATGTACACGTAAGTTCAAAATTTTCTCTCTATTTGGTAATAGTTTACACTTAATTTTTATTGTTTTGCTAAAAAAAACTTGATATACCAGACAATTTTGGTGTTTCCGAAACGGGAACGATGTTTAAAAGTAGATTTCTGGAAGTTATCATGTTGTAGGATATACATCGAACCTCGCTATCTGACCTCTATACGTAATTCTCGTTTGAAAAAAAAAACATATTCTACGGTATCTGACGTTCTTCATTAACCGGAAGTTGATTCTTAAATACTTCTACACGTCAACCTCATTCTGAGAATTATGAATAATCGTTTAAGTTACATTAATCAACAGAAAGTCACTGCCTTGAATTTCAAAATGACACCTGCTCATTATTCCCATTATTCCCTATTCCCTATAGATATGTATTTAAGCACAAAAATTGTACATCCACCTTCATATCTGTCTACCATTCTTAAATTTTACCCATCAAAAAACTTTACCGAAGACAGCAACTTCCTGGATGACCAGGAACCTAACATATAGCGTATTCATGAAGATCACCTGGACAATAACGTAGTGATAATGTTCTAAAATAATATGGAAATCCTCAGCCACCTGAATCTCCTATTGAATTTTGAAGATTTCATGCATACTCCCTTAGTTCAGTCAGTAAAGGTGTAAAGCTATAAAGCTAGACCATGCTGAAAGCAGCTAGGTTTGGTTCCCGGTCCTGTCTAGAAATGGTTCGGGTTAAAAAATTTCTCGTCTTCGCTGGATATAAAGTAGATTGATGCAAAATTTGATCCTGATTAGCCTTCCAAAATTTGAACTTATTTGTTTATTTAAACCTTATGACGTTTAAATGGATTTAACTATTGAAAAACATTTTGACGTAGGACTACGTCTAAGATTTCTATATGGGGGTACACTTTATGAAAACCGAAAATGGAACATGTAACAAAATTATGAAAGATTTTGAACGTTAACTCCTCAGCTGCCCCTGGACCAATTTCAATAAATTTTTAATCCAAACGATCAGATATATTTCTACGCATCTGTTAAATTTAAGACTTTATCATTTTTCAAAATGTCACTATTGAAGCTTGCACGAATGTGCAACTGTTGCTATGATAATTAAAATTATCACCGATTACCTGCGAAAAGCGATTTCCCTAACACAGATTTCAAAGTTGAATTCCATTCAGTTTCACCAAACGGTGTTTATTCAATCAAGGTGAGTGGTGGTGTTCTCCAGTACACAACAAAAGGCTCCCCCCAACAGCCAGCTATCAAGGCTGGCCTCAACCATTGATCGAATTCAGTTCCAATCACCGTGTGTGGTGGTCAAGGTCATCAATCGGGTCACCATCAGCTAGAGTAAGACTACCTCTACCCGACGGTAATGTTGGTGCAATTTCAAAAACCAAAGTCCGTCGTGGCATGAAAGTGGTCTGATTTTGAACCAGAAATGATGGATTTTAATTCTTAATACGTCAATCAATAGGAATATTTTCTACAAATCTGTTAAAATCAAAACTTTATCATTTTTCAAAATGTCACTTTTGAAAATTGCACGAATTGTAACTGTTGATATGATAATTAAAATAATCACCGATTGCCTGCGAAAAGCGATTTCCCTAACACAGATTTCAAAGTTGAATTCCTTCCGGTCTCACCAAACGGTGTTTATTCAATCACCGCGTGGTGAGTGATGATGTTCTCCAGTTCACATCGAAAGGCTGCCTGCAAGCAGCGAGCTGCAGCCCACATGACCATCCATAGAAGTAGAAAGAAGCCGCACAGCTATTGATCGGAATCAGTAGCTCTTCGTGAATTGCTGAGGGCCATACTAAAGAGTATAAACAGAGAGAACTCCGCTATAATTCCTATTCCTACACAAAACACAAGCTCTTACTGCAGTTAACAAATAACATTTATTATATAAGACCACTTAGTCCTACGTCACCATTGCGTACAACCCCATAGGGCTGTACCTTGTAGTTGTTTTTTATTCATATCTATCTAAAAATTCACCATTTCACTTTGCTTTTTAAATTGATAATTTTGCTTATAGAAAATTGTTTCAGCTACAACTTTGCTGATGATCATTTTTCAAAAGTTATTAATGATTCAAGGCACTGATGTATTATAATTATGCCCAATAAACTGTTCAGCAGGCAACATTGGTCTTTCTGGCGCGTAGAATAGGGCGCAAAAAATCATGGCTACTATGTCACACTGCAGGATATGATATGCCCACAAAACAGTTACTTGATCATGCTATAAGATAATCAATCTCTCAAAAAATTAATCACTATTTAATTTGACGTTTGACTGAAAAACGATTGTGTGCAAAGGCCCCATGCATTAATTATGTCACGCTAAATCGAGCAAAAAATTACCCCCTCCCCCCCTTCGTGACGTTTTTCCTATACCTTATGCATTGCTTGTCACAAAATCTTAGACCCCCCCCCCTCCCCCCTTAGAGCGTGACATAATATATGCATCAACCCAAAGTTGTAGCTAAGAAAATTTCCCATAAGAATAGTTATAGAGCTTTTTAACAGTGCAATATGGAGAAAGTCTAGATGACAATGAGCAAAAAGTTTGGTTTTCCCATAGTAATTTCCATATAAACTTCAAATGATTTGTGCCAAGGCAGTTTGTTACCAAATGAGTTTAAATTTTCGGAAGCTTATCAGGATCCGATTTGGAACCGTTTGATCCCCGAGGATCGAACATTTTAAATTTTTCATCAGTCTATTACATAGTATGATTTTTCTTGCCTTACCACACAATCTATCCAAAATTGGAACCTCCATTTACTAACCAAACCGGGCGTTCGTAAATCGAATCAGTGCGTAAAAAAACTCGTTTGGGATTTATACCTCGCAATAACAAATTTTTGAAAATATTGTCAAATACCACACAATATGGGTATTTTTGGAATCGGAGTGACGTGTAGAAACCGCAAATACATTTCAGATGTCATTTTTAAATCCAATATGACGGCTTCCGGTTACAGCCAACAGAAAGAATACTGTCAAATACCAAAAAATATGAGTATTTTTGGTACCGTGATAACATGAAGAGACTGGAAATCCATGTTTGACGCCTTTTGAAATCCAAATAGTGCCATATACAATCGTAATTCCATGTATAGTAAAACCCACCTCAGTTTCCAGGATACTAACGGAGACTTATGATTTCCTCTAAGATATAAAGTTCGATGCAGCCACTTGCAGTTGACTAAGTTCTCAAGTAACCTAAAGTTCCGGATTTAACGATTAAAATCACTTCCAAGTTCCATAAAGTTCCGACAGAACTTTCAAGTTCCATAAAGTTCGAATATAGCCCCGACAGAACTTTCAAGTTCCATAAAGTTCGAATAAAGTTCCGATAGAACTTTCCAGCCACATGAAGCAATTCGCACAAGTGTTTATTAGTAACAAAATTTAATGTACGTTAATATGAAATGATCAGCGGCCCGAATAAATCATAAATCTTATATTTATGCAGTGCATAAACATAAAAAA